TTCTTCTATTTATCTAAAAGTATAAATAGGAGACACGTTCGGTGATCAGAGAAAAACTTGCAATCAACCGTCGTGATTAATCTTCGTCAAAATGAGAACGACTCTGTCTCCAGCCTCCTGTCAAATACCTCTGGCCACGATACTCGCGAAGCAAAAACAAAGAAGAATACATAAAGCAATGCTCGGAAAAATAATCCCGGAGACGGGCAACTTCAAAAGAGAACCACATGCATCGACGCAGTGGCTCAAAAAAGGGGAAAAATTTGAAAAAGGAAATGAAAACGATGTATGCGCCTTTTCTGAGGCTCTTCATCTTCGTCTTTTCATCATCAGATTTACCCGTTGCTGGTTGGCTTTAATCCGGAGTTCTGGCTCGCCATCGGACCGCGAGTTTTCGACTCGAGTCTTTTGGTATCGAATAACCGCAAAATATTAATGGATAGACGTACGGGCTGTTGCTCATTGTCCGGCCCCTCTCGAATCAATACATACCACAGCACGTCCCTGGCTGCGTTGTTATTCCCGCGTGCACGTAACGGCCAAGCCGGGCTTAGGCGATGGCTGACTGGTTGCCCGGCTGGCTGCTGCGTTTGGGGAACAACGTTGCCCAATAATCTTTCGGCCAGAATCCCGTCCAGATGGTTTTCGACGTTATGAAACCGCTGGCCCGCGGTCAACCTACCCGTTTTTGCTCCTTCGACCCGTTTCTGTGGCCCTTTTGCCTGTTGCGATCCGGGAAAACTCGGCTCACGGATTCAAATCACCTGATATCTTTTTCATTACATGCTTGGGTACGGAGTTGATACGGGGCTCGTGTAAAAAATGTCGTCGGCCAATCTCGAACGTTTTAATCGTTTAAAGAAATTTTAGATTAAATTTTAGATCGTCGCCGTGTCGCGATGTAATCGTTTAAAGGATGGATAACAAGTTTAACAAGTAAAGTTACCTGCTTACGTTGCTTCAATTAAGAACTTCCTACGGGGTATTATAAAACATCTGCCGTCTTTTTAATCCGCGTCTTTAAATCTAATACAAAATTCATGGTAACAAGTGTTCGAGAATTATATTACATTTTAAAATTAAAAACCTCCGCGAAGTAAAACTAACAATATACCTTTTCTTGCCGTCCGCCGACAGGAAATTGAACAGTCTGATAAGGGAAACACAAAATTTTGCCAGAGCTCTCACGAAATTATAATCTGAACATAATGGATCGTGAAACGGAAAGTATGATTTATGAGGAATCATTTCTCCACATTTTTTGTACGATCTATAATATTCTCGTTTTTTTTTATTTCGGATGAACATCGAACACGTGCATCAAAAATAATTACTTTCTTCTTCATATACGTTTTTACATGTTTATTCAATTTACGTCAATGTGCATTACCAACGCTCTTGCATGGATTATTCATTTGCTAGCAAGCCCCTCCAGCAAAGTCGTAGTCACGAAATCGCAATCCAGTCCCAATGACTTCACCGCAGCCGAGTGTCGGTTAGCTGCTTACGTGTTTCACTGCTAGCGATGTATGTAGGTACACAGTGTGTAGTCTCGGAAGGCTATTATGATAATAGTACTTTCATTACGAAAGGTCTTCATTATCTTGGCTAGATTCGATCTACCCGGATCAATATCATTTGCCTCTTACATTTCATTAAACGCGTACATAGTATATTGTATACACGCGTAGGAAACTTGCGATTTTTTAGCAATCCATCACAATTTTGATAAACTCTTTACTACAGGTTTTCTTATCAGCTTCAACTATTACACACGAGCTCTTAATCGTGACGTTAAAATGCTTTCCTCGTTTCTTCGTTTAACTGTTGTTTCTTCAAACAATGAAAATGAGTCACAGTTACTGCTTAATCACTCGGATTACACCTTAATGATTCACGGGCAGTGGAAAAAAAATACGACTTGGTGTTTCGTGAAAATAATTTTGTCCCATGTAACACTTCTACTAAATCTGGATTTAATCGAGGTTCTTGCTCGTATGTTAACTAACTCCATTAGCTTATCGAGTTATATAAAATCCTTCTAGTGTCAATAACGAGATGAAAAAAATTCTTAAAGATCTGAACGGGTCAATGATTACAGCACTTATCCAACTAATGTCTGATATTGTTTGAATGAGAGATAAACGTTACTGTTCCGCGTTTATTGCACGTTTAGGACATTCATTATTTCATCGTATTTTACTCTGACAATTTGATACAAATACAGTTCGATAACCTAAACTTTTAAAGTCAGGAAGAAATGTCACTGACCTAGATATCTACCGATGTAGCGTTCGAATTCCCAGTCCGCCTTACGGACCGAGCCGATCGATCCCTCTTCTTTCACCCATAATAAATCCTACTAATAAAAAGTCCTGCAAATAAACTAAAAAAGTAATCCTGCAGCAAAATCCTAAAAATAGGAAAACCTATTGGAATACGTATCTTTCGTAAAGCGAAACGAGTTTCGAATTAATACGAGATGATACAGAGTTATATTTGATTGGCGCATATGAAATGTCTTCTTCAAATACGACAGATTTATTTAGTTCCATTCCGTGTGTGTATTTCAAATAATTTGTCTGTTGCTTTTAGCCATCCGTAAATGATTAAATAACTTCATTATCCCAAATGGGCTAAGCATTATTCATTGTCTAAAGCAAGGAGTAATATAATCCATCGTTTGATGATTCAGTTAAATGTAATGCTACGATATAACAGAGTAATATTCGTAACAACTGTGTAACGTGATAAATTGTACTTTATTCAACGAAACTGACTCTTCAATTTGTTTCACTGCGAGCTATCTAATTCATTTCGTAATAATTGCATTCCGACGTAAATTGATGCATGAAATTGTTTTCAATTAATGCACTGATTAATAATGCTACATTATTATATAACGTGTTTACTATGAATCTCATTGACGTTATTTAATCTTAAATTCGGCTATTAAAAATTGTAATTCTAGAAAACGACGTTTCATATAAAAATATTTATTAAGATGTATTGAGGCATTGATTGAACGATCTTGTATCGTCGATTTTCAGAGGCCTCCCTTGTGGCGTGCAACCCCCGGAGCCGGTGCCGGACCCGGATGGCGACAAATTGGCCACCATCGCGGCTCGCTTCAGCTACTTTCAAGAGAGGAAGAGCACACTGACCACCACGAAAGTCGATCTTCGTAGAAACATCAATCCGCCTGCGAGGTACAAGAATGCGAGACCAACGGTCCGGCTCAGGCCGCGGCAAGTACTCTGCAGCAAGTGCAGATCGATCTGCAACGAGAATAGCGAGAACGTGGACGTCAGCAGGAAACGGAAGCACGACGATGTACACCAGGAACAGCAGCAGCCGCAGCAACAACAACAAGTAATTCTATTATATTTCTTTACCAATGATAGAAATTCATTTTTCTGATTATTGGAAAATATAATTTTGATACAATGTCGTAATAAAATCTCTTAAGTGGACGTAGATTGGGTTGTAGCGAAGTTGAGTGGTTGAATTAGAGCAAGCTGAAGATACGTGGAAAAAGTTGCTTGACGCATCGTCTTACGAGATTCTTATTTGCACGGAGTTGTTTGATTCTGGCATGGCAACTTGCCTCACGAGTTCTTCCTGCTTTAGCACAAAGTGTTCTAATGGTACATTTAATACTACCATTTCCTTGCGCGGTACTCGTGTTGGCCTTAAAACATTTTATTCGCTGGCTCAGTATCAGATGACACAGGTTTCGTCCGAGTATTTTACGACGCAATTTTTCAGCGTTAAAATTTGATCAGAAATATTCAAGTTTCTGAGATAATAACGACTAAATTACGTATAATAGAAAATTTGCGCAATCGAACAATGATTGCCGAAATTAAACATCGATCAATAATAAATTAAAGGCAAATTGCATTTATTCTGCTGATACTTTTTTTCGAAAGCGATCGAATGAGAAAGAATTGGAAATGCGGAACTTTTTACGTGGCGATAAAAAGATTTGACGTTCTCAACTCGATTAGGTCACGGGCCATGGACCAACCAGAAGAAGCGATCGACGCTGTGGTCAGCAGCCGCAAAAAAGCTCGAGGATACTGTTCTCCGAGTGTCAGTCCGAGAACATCAACGTGTCGTCTCATCAGACGGTTAAGTCCTCCTCGTCCAACGCGCTGAGCCTTGATTCATCGAAACTTGGACCGTCTCTCATACCGAAAATCTCGAGGCTTCAACCGAACGAGATTAACAGCGCCGTACAAGGAAATGGTTAGTGCTATTCATTCAAATAAATCCTTCTTGTCAAAGTAGATTTAGTAGATTCAAGAATTAAAACGTTTACGAGTAATGAATTAAAATAAATGTAAAAAATGTATTAAATTTTGATGTTTAGAATATGAGAGTTTCGTCTTATTATATTGATTTTGTCGAAGTGTTTTATAACACGTGGTCTTAATCCTGTAGAAGCTTGCCTTCAAGGGAAGTGCTTAAAGCGACCACCTTAGGCTTCAATAGTAGGATTATGTAAGATCAATTTGCGAGTAATAAGGTATTAAGATTAACTTTCATGAAATAGCGGGAGGTAAACATCTTTATAAACTGGAAATTAATGTCAGTACTTCGCAGAGCATCGCGCATCGTAATTATTTATTTCAGTATTAGCACAAATATCTTTGACATTTAATTATTCGAGCTGAAGCGAAATACAAAATATTGTTCACAACAATTTAAAAGCAATCTGTAGAACACTTCAAGGAAACTATAAACGATTTTAATTGCCACATTTAAAAAAGTAATTAAGAAATTTATTGCCTTCTCAAGTTTTTCCTGTTCTCTATGAAACTTACAGAGAAGGTGAAAATAGGTCAGTCCTATTGGAACAACAGAGCCGACGAGGGTGATTCCTCGTCGAACGCGATGGAGCCGACGGAGGAGCGGATAGAATCGACAGATTGTGACAGCAATCTGTCGGTAGCTTACTGTGCCACGCCTAGAAGGCTCAGCAGTTCTTCGGTGGAGAGCGCGAAGATACCTGAGGAAGAGGAGAAGAAAACGTTCGCGGCTGCAGACTCGACGATGAGGCCGAGAACAGGCCGCGTGCCACGGAAGAAACGATCTGTCGGATCTATGGAGGATTTATGGGACGAAACTGTGTTCGAGGATCCGACGAGGACGGCCAGGGCCACACCGGTAATCAAGATCTCGTTTGGCGCTCAGGGCGAGGGTACTGTTCTCAAGATACCTTCGAAGATTCAAGACCCGGAGTACGAACACGAAACAGACGATGCCGAGGACGCGCAAACGGAAACGGAGAGGGACCCGTTGGAATTACCGAGGAGCTTCGATAATGATTACGATTACCGCGAAGACGGAGAGGATGATGGGCAGGAGCAGGTGGATCCGCAGAAACAAGGTGTAAAAGACGCAAGCGCTAAAGCTGCGAAGCGTGCGTTGAAAAAGGCTAAAAAGGAAGCCCGGAGGAAAATGCTTGGCGGAGTTTCGCCGGCGAGGTCTCCCTGTAACGGGTCCCCACGGTAAAATATTTTTATTCCTCAGTTATGTCCTTCAGGGTAGTTTCTCTTTTTACAAACTTTTTCAGTTGTATTTTTCTCTTTTCTTACAGGTACAACCCCACGTACGATTCTTTATCGTATCATCGGCGCAAGCATAAAGTGAAGCATAAAAAGAAACACAAGGAGGAACGGAAGCATAAGAACCAGTCGCAATCGCAGCATCAGCAGCCTTCGCCGGAATCCGGAACTACAGAGAATCAGCAAAACTGGAACGTACTTCCGGGCAGTGAATCGTACACAGCCATAAAGGAGCAGTGCCTGAAGCAAAAACTATCCATATCTCTCAAGAGATTGAACACGAACGCTTATGCCAGATGTGATTATCCAGTGAGCAACTCGTCGGGGTGCAAGACTCCCGGCGCCAGTAGCGACGAGCTGAGCGAGCAAGAACCGGAAGTCGATGCGGGCGAGACCGCTCCGGACTTTCCGCCTGAATCCCATCCACTGATGATGCGGCTGGCAGCGACGCCCGTGGAACATTGTCTCACAACAAACGGTCGAAGAATGGATGTCGGCGATGTGGTATGGGGAAAAATTCATGGTTTCCCTTGGTGGCCCGCGAAAGTGCGTATCAAAGCCTGATATGATTATTGCAAATTTAAACGATCATCGTTATATCAACGTGTGTTTATCATTCCAGGTTCTTAGCATCACAGTTTCTTGTAAAGAAGACGGTACCTCGTCCGGGCCGCAAGCTCACGTCGCGTGGTACGGTTCATCGACGAGTTCTCTCATGTCGTGCGATCAGTTGAGTCCATTTTTAGAAACATTCAAGGTAATTGTTCGCTGACAAATTCGTGTTAAATTTGTTCAAAGAAGAATTTGAAGATTCATAAATTGGATCGTTTTAGACGCGGTACAACAAGAAGAAGAGGGGCCCGTATAAGGAGGCGATAAGGCAAGCGCAGAGTGAGGCCCGAAGTCAAATCACGCCTAACTCGACGAGCAGCGTGCTAAACGTGTGCGGGTCACCGCGCGAGGTGAACGTTCTCTCCTAAGGGAAGGTGCGCACGCCATTCAACACCATTCCTTCAACTGCCGGGTATATAATCCGTCGCCGGAGATTTTTTCACTTCCTAACGGCGGATCGTAATCGTCATGTAATATACGAAACAAATTTTTGTACATATTTGAAAACCTTAGCGATTAATGAAAAATAGCTCTTGATCGATGTTCTAATTCAGTTCAGCCACGCCTGTCGTCGTCGTCGTCCGCGTTCTAAGTATATGTAACGACTATAAGACAAACCGGGTGAGACGCTGAACGAAGCTTACTGCCATCACTGGCGTGGTATTTTTTTATTTTTAGCTTTTTTAGAACGAGATACTTAGCGCGTAAGGCGTATTTGGATAGGATAGATAATATCTAGGGATGACACGTCAGCTCTCAGAACATAATTTTTCTACTAAAAGAATCCTTCTTCCGTTGGTCAGACTCGGACTCTTTTTCGACGAAATATGCAATAATTGTTTCCATTATGTTTGTTTTTATTAATGATCGAATGCTTTTTGAAGCAGAAGTAAATATATATATACGCTTTTTAATTATCGTTACATTTGTAAACGTAAACGTAAATACGTCTTTTAATTATCGGTATAAAAAGTCGGTCACCGTTAAATTTATGAATCGTGAACGAATGATCGATTTCTGGGAGCAAACATTCCAAAAATTGTTCAGGAAGTTAATTCGGAATGCATTGTCCCATTATTATTCGAATGGTAAAGACGTAGACGCACGGGTGTCATAGTGTCATGACTAATACTTTGGTGATGCTCGTTTACTTAAATTCTTTGTATGTGGGCATAAATATGTACATACATAATATACGCGTATATATTTGCATTACATATTTTGCACGACGTTATTGTGATCAAGTACAAGCGTACGGAGATTCATCCAGTGCGGGTAGTGAATTTTCGCTACGGTCTGTAGATCGTTCACGACTCGATTGGTTGCTCGTCTCTCTGATCGACAGAACTTAGAACCTGGACAATACACCCTCGAAATAATTCGTGATACTTCTAATCGTGTAATATTTGTGAAGCTTTAATTGGAGACGTTATATGTTTCAACTTGCAAAACGAGTAACATAGCTCAGTGAATAGATTGATTAGTCGGATATCTAATACAATTTTTTTTTTTAATTGGGACGGAGGAGACGGTGAGAGAAATAGGGTACGTTAGTAATCCAATCTTCGAATAATTAAACGCGTTTAAGTGTACGTAATATCAAAGCACTGACGCGCAAGCCGTTTGGCCTAAACCTAAACCAATTCTCTAATTATTTCGAGTAGTACACGTACGTACGTTGTCAAGTGCTCGAGCCAGGTGGTGATAAAACATTGTGTCGGACGTAACATGGTTTCGAGTTACGTGGCTCGTATTTTACAACCATGTCTGCTTCGTTCACAAGTTATGTTTTTACGCTCAGTTTCAACACTGCCAGGATTTTAAGCGCTCTGTTTCTGTCTTTTTTCGCCAACACGATTCACGTCGAGTCAGACGATGCGGCTTTTTGACCGATTCTGTAGTTCAACCGAATCGCTACGGGTTGTAACTCGATTAAATTCCGGATCACAAATTCTTTACGATTGATCTATTTTTATCCTCTCGTTGAAAGACAATGGAAGCTCATTTGTTTCTATTAAACGATCGTCTTTGTCATAATAACAATGACGAGAATCTTCTTCTATTACTCTTAAATATCCCGGTACATTCGTAGTTCAGCTTCGCTGTTATTAAAAACTTTATTCCTTCCATTTCATAAGGAAATTGTTGCTTCAATCGTAATTAGTACTTAAATTTCCTTCATCTCTCTTCTTTAAAATGAATATTAAAAATTTGTCACTGCCTCGAACTGATGTTTCTTCCATCTTTAAAACGTAGTTTAGCTTTCTCTATTTAAGCAGCTGAAGAATTGCAGTCAAGTTTCCAAGTAATTTGTGTTCATAAAGAGAAAATCATTATCGAGTCAAGAATGCACGTGTAGTGGCTACGTAGGAGTTGTACTGTGAATGATATTCATGTCACAAAGATTTTATGTTAGGAGAGAAAAATACAATGTCTAATTAAAAAGCATTTCGTTAGAAGGTACAATCTTTGTAGCCACTGTGATCTGCCTAAAATAGAGAAACGAGGATCGTCACGTGACGGGAGTATAACTATCGTGATATCGAATCAACATTTTGTACGATATCAGCAATCACGTGCAAATCTCACGCTCGATGTTTGCTCAACGCTTAAACGTTCTCGTAATCTAAAAGTTGTCACTGGCCAGACGGCGGATTTCGTCCCTCTTGGTCTTCTTCATTCAAACCCATCCCTTTTCCCAATTTCGTATAACAAGAGCTGCGGAAAATTTCTTTGAAAAATAAATAACTCGAAAATCCAATGGCCAATTTACAATTTGTTTTATCAGACAGTATTAAATAAGCAGGTAGATTTTTGTTAATGGACTTCGACGATGTCGCCTATTTGATGTATTGACAATTAATTCATGTTTATTTGACTTGGCGATCAATTGTTTTTGATCACGAGATGCGATCTAAGGTTCGAGTCGAATTGTTTCGATGACAATGAATGGATTAGTGAAAATCGATGTTATAGTAGTAATTTTTGCAATGGCATTAATTGGTTAAGAATTGTTTTTTTAAATTGCTTATATTTTTTACGTTTCTATGTATTATTTTTGTCTTTGATTATTTAGACGCAAGTTAGGTATTGTTACTTTGTGTTTATCTTCCTTTCTAAGGAAGAATAAGAAAATGCTAATCTAGAGAATCATTGGATATAATATATTAAGATATCTTTTCAAATTTCGATCGTTTCTATTATTAGGATCAAATACTAAAGAAAAACCAAGAAAAAAAATTAGGTGTGCGTGGAAGAAAACTAGACCCAGAATCAAGCATGGGCACAGCGTATCCTATAAGGATTCGTGATGGGAAGGTTGTATCACAGATTTCCGTGATATATCTGCCTTTCCGGCCTACTGTAGGATTTTTACTCATGGCACAGAGATCCACTAAAAGGCTCGTCCATGCTTGTCCTAAGCGCTAAATCGATCATCGTACTTGCTAACGAAATTAAAGAGATAGGAGTTGCGTTGTGTGAAAGGCAAGTGAAGAGAAATCTGGATAAAAACTGAAATACACAGACGAATAGCAGAGTATGAGTACGTGCGAATGAAATACACGTGGGTGAATGAAATAGAGAAGCAGGAAGAGGAAAGCGAGAAACTGAGATGTTTTTAAGTAACTGTGATTTTTTCAAATGTTTTATATATATATATATTATATATATGTATAGACATATATGTATATTATACACATGACGAATTAATTTCTACGCATAATACGAATGACGATGATGAACGATAACGGTGGGAATGTCACCGAGTTTGTACGAACGTCGTAGGAACATTTTTTCGATTAACATATCGGGTAGAGAGAAGCGTTTCAGCGGCGAGCTAATCACCGCTGTTAATTAATCATCACCGATTCACCGTATTCGATTCATGAATTAATCGACCCCTACTATTACGGATATAAATATGCGCGAGTGGGTGGCGCGTCGCCTAAAAAAACCTTTCTATACATGTACCATTACTCACACGTACACACGAGTTCACGTTCGATTGTCGGTCGCTTGTATCAACGTATGAGAGAAAAGAGCCACGTGTCATCTGTGTAATATCATTGTATTCGGTGACACACGTATACATGTACACGTACAGACACGTAGATTCGTTGTATACTTTCCGTTATACCTCTAGCGAAAGGATCGCCACGTTCTATTTTTCTTCCTCCTTTAACTAATTTTCCCTTCTCGCCTCTTCTTCTCTATTTCTCTCTTCTTTCGCAATCGACCTATCACAAACTGTTCCTACAAAACGCCACTATACCACGCTGAACCTCTCGTTGAGCAATACAATTGACGAGATTATACACCGAGCTGGAATTACTAATTTAAGAATCGATCATCATTTCTGTTCCAACGATCAACGTCGTTCTTACCGGGCGATTTACCTGAATTAGCTTCGGATTAGGTACTTAAAAATAATCGACAATAGAAGAGATAATGTTATCGCCGTTCGATCCTCGCACCACAAAAATAAATGATTGTCTTATTTTTGATCGGCTATTGTCGAACAAAGAGGTGATCAAGGCGAAAATTCTATGATTCTATTTCATTCTGAGAAGACAAATCGTATACAGCTCTTTCCCATATTTCAATCAACAAATACATCTACGTTTATTATTTTTCTTTTTATCAAAGAGCGAAGCAGGACTTCTATAAAAAATTACGATACTTTCTTAAAATTCTTCTTAGCTACGAGAGTCGGACGGCGATATAGGAACGTGGTAATGGTCGGTATTGTTTTAAATAGCGACTACTTCGTTCGCATATAGATATGTATAATTTAATAAATCATCCCCCATTCTCTTGCTCGGCGAAGGTGCGGCCCTGTCCTGAAAAAGAAGTGTTCATTTTTCGAAACGAAATCCACTATGTGGAGCGGATCGCATGCACGCGTATGTATGTACAGATGCAAGTGCTTAAACGCAGAGGCGAATGATGAATTTCCAGGGTCAGCATTTTGAAGGAATGTACGCTTTTTCGGACAACGAGGGAAAGAGAATTTACGAGTACAAATAAGTAAACCTACATGAATATTTCAAATGATAGTAGCAACGTTTTCTCGGTTTATAGTAAAAAAAAAGTAATGGCTGTTTTTTAAATAATGAAATCCTAATAGATATTTGTACATCTCTACCTCCTAGAGTTATAAAAAATTGTTTTCGTGTTTTACACAAGCGTGCAATATCCGTTAATTATTTTAACTTAAATATTTTGCGATGAAGAAAATTACTCGCACTATCGAAAATGAAAAGAATAAATATGCCTAATCATCGCCAAAGTATTTGGCCATCTTGAAAATCCGTAAACGACAAAAATGATATAAGTGTCTAGTTTCGTAAAGGATCAGATCGCCTAAACTCGACCCGCAGATACACATTCGCCGCTGCTGATTGTAAAACTTCCGGTCACGTCTGTAGGAAATGACCGCATCGATACGAATCGCTATACCGCATACTGGACCTGTATTTTTTTAAAATAAAAACAACAAGAAAACGATTGTCTTGCGATTCTGCCGAACGATCGATCGTCAGACTGCGAATCTCTGTGCGATGTCTCATAAAAATCGTTTCACTCGTTCTGTTCCGTATTCCTGTGCACGTGATCGCATACAAATTCGCAGCCTACCAATCTTGCTTGACGTAGACCAGCGATTCTTAACAATCTTTCTCAAGATTAAATTCATGAGATAATAGTGTAAAAATATTTATTCGAAATTGTCTGTTAAGAGTCTGTGCATTTCGCATAATTATGATTGATGTGCTAGGGAAATTTCTCATTTTACGATATGTAAGTCTCTGGGATCGCATGCCGCGGTGTCGTTACAGAATTAATCATGCAAGCCTCGTACAAAGATCCCGGGTTAAGAATCGCTGTTGTAGCCACTAAGTAAATCGGGGAGAATGAAGGGAGAAGTAAAACGAGTGAAAGGGCGCGATGAGAGAGAGACGACTGATGATCATTTCAACGGAGACTAATTCTCGTTGCTACTGCTTTTTACGGATTTGTAAACAAGAAAATAGTACGTACACATGCATGATGTGTGCCACGTACACCCATACATACACGTACTTACATGTACATTACTCGTAAACGCACGAAGGTTCCGGTTTCATTCGCGAGCTTGATAACGATCGATGGCCAGTACGTTTCAATCGGGTTGACTAAGACTAGAATCAAACGATGGAAGCTCGCACGTCCGCCCTCGCCTTGAATAAACGAGGACAAATCGTACGAACCTCCATCGTTTCGCTCGTGTCACCAAGTCTGAGAAGCATGCTTCTTGTAAACAGTAAAAGGAAAAATTGAATAAAAATAAGAAGTAGAACACCGAATGAACCGTCGACACAGAGTCTTGTACATATTATTTTTTTTACTACTGAAAAAGAATCATCTGAACTACGATCGTCTGTTGAAGCGCGCTCGCGTTTCTCCTTGGATCGAACGAGACGAAGCGATTCAATGGAACAAAGAACACATTGTTATACTTTCTTTCTGTTTTTTTTTTCCCTTATTCTTCAATACTTTTTCATCAGTATTTCACTATTACACGTTTTTAATATTTTACAAAATATTTTTTTTTTGATACTATCAGATTTCCCTTCGTGTGCCATTCACTTCGTTTTCATTCTTTCGGTTTCCCTTATCGCGGTCGTCTCGTTCGATTTTATACAGCTCACGAATGGTCCTCAGTAACCTTCGGCTCGCTTTTTGAATTCCATGAGATTCAATTGCAGGGCATAGAAAAGAGAAATCGTACCAGCGGGTTAGAGTCTAATGGAAGTGTTCTACTCGCCAAGAATAGCGTCAATATTTTTTAAGAACGAACTCCTGTCAGAGAAAATAAAGCATTGGTTAGCAACAGAATGCCGAATTAATTTTCCGCATATTCTTGTATCCCTCTTAGTTAGTTAGAAAAACTACTTTTATTAGAAAAGTGTTGCCAAAGACTGCGCAATTTGTAACGATAAATTGCGGCGAGATAAAGCTGTGCAAATAGAGGATGCATTTAGTAACAAAAGCAATATTTCACTTTTGTCGAGTAAAAATCGAAGCACGTGCGTACCTACTCAACGTAATCGCTATCATCAGTGCCATCGTTGTATTATCTCTACGAAAGTGCAGCTCTACTTACATTACCTAAACGCTGTCATCTTCATAAACGCAAGGTAAAATAAAATTCAATTCGCTTTGTCATCTCGCTGAGACTCCCGTCGTATTCCAACCGCTTTTTTCGTAATCACGAACTAAGAAAAGAACAACATATTCCATTATTCAGATTAGATGGTCTCATTCTTTTTAGTACGCCGAGATATAAGAATTTCTTCTCATGGCATCGTATTTTATTTAGCATGTCATAAAATGTTTTCCATTTTCATATTGTATATCGATTAAAATTTACAAGAAACGAAATCTGCAGCGTTCCTGATAAAACGCAGTGTTTACCGCTTCTCTGCACGTATGAAAAATTAATGAACGTGCCCCGCGTTTCTGTCGATATTCTCGACGGCGCGATTTTCAGAAGACGTGGACCGAATACGTAGCGGCACGATTTTAATTGTTCTGGGGGAAACACAACCGATGGTCTCGATTCGATGGTTCCTTATCTCGCACGTACGAACGCGTAAGTATTTACACGCGAGATCTCGCAACGCGTTTCACAATCAGTGGCACTGCGGACGCGTCGGCGGCGGGACGCGAGATTGCCAATTAAATCGAGCTTGAATCATCAAAGACTAAATATAAAATGCAGTTGTCCAGCGTCGCGTTTAACGATATTGTTGAGATAAGTTGCACGTATATGCCTTAAACGAGTATACGGCGAAGTGATGTGATAATTCCTTTTGAAATTGAAAACAGGACAAATTATTATACTTTGCGAAATTTTAAACATCGCCAGTCGTTTCGTGAAAGTAACTCTTCGAGGAGGAGAAGTAAAAATACTTTTGCACGATATACTCTGAATTGAAAACGGATATAGGGTTCTTAGTATTCTGTGGAAGTCCACTTCGTAATTTCGCGAATGATTATTCGGCTGCGGTAAAGTTCACAGAATTATTCTTATCGGGATGACTAAAACCAGTGAGGGAACTTTCAGTTGTTTAGTATACGCAGAAGGAGGAGCTTCTAGTGAATGGGATCGATCGATATCGAAGCTACTTGTGAAAATATTTGCAATGTAAGTTATCCGTATCATCTCCTTGTGCCTGATTCCAAGCATCTACGGATTGCCAATTAAAGTTCTTATTATTCATGCTGCCACATCGTTAAAGATTAATTGGAACATGAAAAAATTCTAGGATAATTTCTATTCACCGTCAATAATAATAATTTCGATAATGATTTACAGTTTACGTTGCAATTTCTAACAATAGATAACAATTCAGAGACATTCACTTCGTGAAGATACATATTTCACTATGTACACATATTTACTGTATACATAGACTTTAAACCTTCTATTTTAGTCCAGATGTATTGTGCGTTTTAATTCACGAATACAACCTCGTAATTAAATGATGAATTGGTCCTTAAGACGAAACAAGGCTCCATCTTATCAGATGAATCTATAGTACTAGAATAAATCACGTGGTATATTTTCTGTGAATCGATTTTACTTCTTCAAATCGTATCAAAATAAAATCGAACCAGTAGTCTCTAATTTATAATAATTCGAACGAATCTATTGATCAAGTATCAAAGATTAGCGAATTGAATTCTATCAGTAATTGTTCGATTAAAATACAATACGTATAACGTAATATTTCCATTTATGGCTGTGCGTCATAATTTCCTTTCAATTCTCAGAAACCTGCAGATTTCCGAACGTATTAGTATAAGACTGCGTTAATAATGTGCCCCCGAATAATTTATTCAATTTATGCGCATACGTTCCACAATAGGTGTTCATGCTAAGTCAATCCGACGTTAACCTAATCCAAATGTAAAGAGGGTGCCACTTGGATCGCGACAAAACAATGATTGAATGCACAAAATCTGTTGACTGAGTTTACCACGTAATTCACAAAACTGCTTTAATATCAGAAGCGACTTCATAGTTGAATAGTACAGAAAAAATTATCATATATACTGATAAACTCAATTCCAAATGTACGTATTTAAACATGAATATTCATGAGAAAAAACACTCGAAAGAATATCTTCTTTCAAACGATAGTTTTATCTCTCTTTATGCATCATGAAAAAAGAGACGGTGAAATGAAATAATAATGAAACAAGCAAAAGAACATTCTACGTATGATTCTGCTTAAAATTTTCAACAAGATTAAAAAATTGCAAGGTTTGGGATTGATTATTCCGTGGAGCTGTTTTTGTTTTTTCGAACAAAGCCTGGCAGGCTTTTCACTAACGAGAAGTAAAGGGTTACGGTTAAGGGAAGTGCGCCGGTCCGGGTGAGACGCCGTCGCCGCCGCCGTTGCCGCTACCGGAAGCGGGCATCGGCGCCGGGACGCAGTAGTCGCGGCGCGGACGCGACCCAGTGCCCGTGTGTACACCGACGACGTACCGCGGATCGTTGCCGGGAAGATGTACAAGGACCACCGGGAAGTAAGTACCACACGAGCGAAGACGGGGGTGGGGCTCTCTGACGTGGCCACGCGTATAGTTCTGGATTCAACGTCCCGTGGGCGTAGGACGATCGATCCGACGTCCACGCCGGGATCTCCCTTCCGGTGGAGAATCACCCCCTGTTCCTATGAAAGCCTCGTGAACGACTGTAAACGCGACTCTCCTCGCGTGTCTGCGAGGAGATTCGAGCTGGATGGGAGGCGTTTGATCGAACGCGAAGGACTGACGACGAGGGTGAACATATGGGCTGGGCTCTTCGTGTGACTCCGTGCGCGCGAGGCTGTATGTGCGAAAGGTGATACGCGGGGTTTGAAATGATAAAAATTGGATGAATTGTTCGGTGTTTGGGGATCGGGAGGAATGTGGGTCAGAAAGGTGGTAGAGTCTGGTTTAATAAGGATAGCTGCAGATATCTAATTCTTCGTTAATTAATCTATATATTAGGTTTCTTTGGATTTCTCTTATTGCGTATATTTAGTCTGATATGACATAACTTGGGTTCGTCTCGTATTCCGTATTCAATATCTTATCGACATAGTTCGATACTGATTGTAAACGTGAAAGGTAGAGTTCATTGACATTAGAGTGTATGAATACCTCCTGCATTATTAATGTCCGTAGATAAGCAAATTAATTATGTGGTATTTTCATTTGATAACAGAGAATAAATAATTAATCTTAATTTTATATAAATTTATAATATCTAACTTATTCCATGACTGGACGTCCAAAAGACGATCGTCAATTAAACGCAGAACTGATATACATATAATTCTATTAAAAATAAAATTGACAGATGATAAATCAACATACGAAACTCGTATTTCGAACTCTTTTAATACTCTGGAAAAGGTGCCTGCTCTACGATTGAGATTAGCCAAAAGCTTTTCAACGAGGGTAGTGCACCCTTTATGCTTCTTCAACATCGAGCAGCGTGATCCCCATTCATCAGACGGGTTCCTCGTTTCACCGTTTCTAGGAAGCGGAAGATATAATATGGGTCACGAAGCAGAAGAGTCGAAAGGGAAGGCGAGAGAAACAGCGGCCCGAGGGAGGGAGAGGAGATCGCTCCTCGGGCCACTCTTAAAACACTTCGCGGTGGCCTCGCCGCGATACTGTCCCCCGGTGTTTTTTGTCGTTCCATCTTATTCCACCGTACCATGCACGCTCCCACCCCTGTGCGTCGTGTACTCGCCCTGTCCCTTTTCCAGCCGCTTGCAGCTGCGCAAAATCCTCCGAGGTGTCTTACGAAGCACACCCTCCTGCAACTGCAGTTGGCAATGCGATCGCCACAGATCGTGGACGTCCCTCCGATGCTCCACCGACGGTCGCATCACAAAATTAAGAATAACATACCTATTCTCCCGGGTCGCGGTTCCCAGAAACATTTTCAATTTGCATTAATGGAAACGCGTCTGAGAGCCGAGATAACTGAGGATTCATGAATAATTAGTGGTAAAGAAATTTTCGTGGACCGGCGAGGGAGTTCGTACAAATTGCTCGTTATCTTTGACAGTGAACGTTCGCTTTGCTGCAAACGCTGGAAGTACAGTCGTGTGGGATATCCAATTTTAATGAAGAATTTTTCGGCCCCTTTGTCGCGTTTCCTGGAGATACAGCACGTTCGCGTTGTTAACACTGACACGGTCGTTGACAGTATGGGATTGGATAGGTGATTTCACGGGCTAGATAACGCGGAAATGAAGTGATAAATCAAGAAATATGGCACGTGTGAGGAGCGTCAGTCTTGAACTATTCGATCTACTCGGCAATTTGAAATAGAAACCTTGTGCGTGAAAACATTTGTGGTCGAATGGGAAAATAAGTGATACGTGCAGTTTTCCGATCTCTCGCCTATTTTAAAACTCGTTCTGTGAAAAATTATTATATCTACACCGATTTTAACAGTATAAGAGACTTCATTTCTATAATTTTAAATTAATTCTTGGGAATTCTTGAAAATATCACTTTGTACCATACGATTACGGCAATGTTGAGACATGATTTGTAGTTCTATTTGTTTCGGCTTGTCATGGGGTTTATCTGCAATTTTCAGATGAATTATGATACACGTGTTGCCGGAGAACAGCCAACGATACAATCGTGTAAAGCGCAAAGGCACAGCGTTCCTTTCGAATCTTTTTAAGTCGAAGAAGTTGACGTTAGGTATGAAGATCAACGAGGACGAGGAGATGGAACGTGCTCCGAAAGTTGAAACACCCGGTAAGTCAGAAATAATGTTTTTCTTTTTCATTCATACATTTTGCTATAACTATCTGAACATATTTGCTGGAGTACAGAAATTCTTTAATTTTGGTAATAAATAAAAAATGGAAATTAAAATCGTTTATATCAATCTTAGAATATAGAAAATACTAAATATATCGTAGGAGATAAAAAAGCTGAGAATTTTTATTATATTTCAATTTAAATTTCGTTGCTTAATCGGTTCCCTCCGAGTTCGCTTGGAAAGCAGTTTTTTAGACAGTGCCACGTGCGGGAGGAAAGTTTCGTGCACAAGCTGCATTTTAAATGTACAGATACGCATATATATGGAAGGCAAAACATATAAAAAGTATGATAACCATTTTTGCAAATATTCAGTAAGGATTTCTTGAAATTAAAACACGACAAATTGAACATGTCATTAAAAGTGAATCCTTTTCCATAATGAAAAAAATTGAAGACTCGTGAACGTATGTCAGGATGTAAAGGAAAGGTCGGACTGCAATTTTCGTACAGTAGCTTTTATCAGTTTTTTGAAGGAACAATTACGATCACGAAGGTTCGTGATGAATTCCTTTTACGAATGACATGCACTGCGAAATACATACATGCTAATTTGTTGAATTTAATTGCTAATGATTTGTAGACTGAATTTTATTCTCAGAACTATAATTCGCGAAAGTTGAAAATAATCAAATATATTCGCAGATGTTATAATTTGAAAGTTTTCCATGAAGCTCGCGAATATTGAACCAGTATTTTATCGACCAAACAATTACTTCTTGTCCCTCGTATCTTTCCAGTGACATAAATTCTGAGCTTTTAAAAAGGGGGAGATCGTTGTTGATAAAATCTCGTTTACGTTTATATAAAATTATCAATTATAAACGCGCATTTTAATATTAAATTCTATTAAATCATTCAAATATGAAAATTCAGTCTAACGGTTTTGAAAATTGTAATCAATATTACAACAAACAAGCGTGGTGATGGTTATTCAATTAATATCAAGCGCATCGAATTATTAACGACAACGTGGACCGGCACGCGTGTCTCAATTAACGGAGTCCAATAAATTGCAAATCGATTTTTGCCCTAGTTTGTACAATTTTCATGTAACAGTTAAAAAGCCAATATATTCTTTTCCGTGGAGAACAATTATAAATTGAGACGATTATTGTATGACGAAAATAGAGATGATTAAATTCTGAATTTGTTTGCAAACTATGATTACTTCCTCACGATATCAAATTATGCTTTTTCCATCTTCATCTATCAGTTCGTTCTAACTCAGTTCAGAATATTTTTAGATCATTCGACTAATATATTCGACTAATTTAATTAATTGAGAGAAACGCGATTTCTGTTGAAGCGATCGTGACGAACGTCTGCAGACGCAGCGGCAGCGAGAACGACACCCAAGTATCACGGATTCCGTCGACCTTGAGCGTGGCAGCCGTCGATGTCGTCGTTGCCTGTCAACCGTCGCCGTCGCACTCTATTTTAACCTTGACACCTGGTAGAACACGGAACATCGATCAGGATATGGAGGCGCTTAGGCTAAGTCGCCAGGATAATCCCTTCCTACAGGTTCGAATCAATAAACTTCCTGTTTGTCATTCTCAAACGAAGCGAGACAAACGATAGATGAGAATCAAATTCTTCAACATCGACAACAGTCCTACCAAAATTTTTGAACAAAAGAATTGAATTTCGATTCCAAGATTGAACTAAAATTTCGATAAATTGCGACGATGATATTTATAAGGACAATTTTGAGATAAAGATAGCAATAGATCTCGATCTTCTAAGAATGGGCCATTCACAGTTTGCAATCAATCTCCGTTATTTCATTAAGCGTCTCTCACGCCATAACAACATAATTCATTCCTTTTATAATGTACATATGTACTTATCCTGCTCAGTGACTTACGACGCCAACAACTCAAGCAAGACGTATCGCAATTCATTCATCTAAATTTTCCACGCTTTTAATCGCACGTGTTAAAAATAGAGAAAGTGGACGACACACAGTTTGTTAAGTGGTCATAAATATTTATTGCTTTTATATAATCACTATCTGCGCGTCTGCTGAATGAAAAACAGCTACGCACATGACGCTCAGATTTTCTCGCCCACATCATTAATTACTTTAAATTATCCTAATTGCAGTTCGAAAGTTTTTGTGTTTCTCAATTTAGCTTTCTTTTATAAATGTTACTTGTCAGTGTTTTAAGTAATTCTCCGTCACATGCAATTCTTCCCTATTTTTATTCTAAAGGGAAAGGGTATGCCTTGTTCCACTTTCCTAGTAATCACTCAGCAAATACCATAAAATGTCATACCGCTCGAAGCGTAATACCCCAACAATTGGTTTAAAGAATATCTTATAAATAGAGCCCTGACTCGCGATGTGTACTTATTTTTCAAAATTCTTCGAATATCAGTCCTGCGATCTGTTTCGGAAATCAACATGAGTCACCCGACGGTAAATCGAAATTTTCCAGGTATTGGCGAGTCGCGAGAGCTTAGTGGAGTCCGTAGAAGAGTCCGAGTCCGACGATGCCATCTTGATGTCTCAGGTGAGTGTTCTTTTTTTTCCTTTACGTCCCATTTACGTTTATCTTCAATATTAACAGCGTGAAACAATCGTATCGATCGACGTAGGTTACATTATTAATGCCGGCGTAAACCTGATAGCGGGGACCGCTTCTTTTCGTCCGGCCAATGATTTTTTAGAACAGATCCTGAACAAAGGACGCAGGTTGACGGCAATATATATTTTTAGTTCCATCGTGGTATTATTTTGTCTTGAATTTTAAACGATTCTTCATATATCCGATTCGGTCCATGCATCAGCGATGAACTCGAGAATTCTTTATCTTCATTTTTCTGATATCCTCTGTATGAATCAGTGAAGATAGTCTATTCATTAAGTGAAGAGTCTAAGCTCTTTTATCGCTTGCACATATTAAAGCAAGATAGAAAGGAAAATTATTTTCGGAAACAAGGTGATTACATTAAGGAACCTGATATTGCGTCAAAGCGTTACGTAAACTGAAGCACTATAGCGTTCTGGGTAATATTCGTACATCGTGAAATTCATATCAAATACGTAGTGTAACAAATATAGATACAAACATAATCAATACGTATTTAAGGGTTTATAGGCTATACACTTAAACAGTGCTAGCATGTTCAATTTGTTATT